CAGTGGCCTAAAATTCAGCTGAATCTTCTTACAATTTTTTTTCAAATCTCCCTATTATACTTTCATTTTAAAGTAGAGCAAGGTAAGTAATGTCCTTGTCTGGCTTTTCTGATGGGGAATTAGGACATATGAGTATTTTTCTTTCTTTTCTTTTCCTTTTTTTTTTTTGACTGGGAAAGTTGAGAGATTGACTTATTGCAAATCTCATGCTTTCCAATCACATTAATCAGCAGGGGTATTGTTAAGTCACACAAGATGGAGCTGACTAGAGGTCTTCAACATTCATATTTTGACAAAAGAGTGTTTACCAGTAAGGAATCTTGTTCACTATGTGAGAAGGTCTGTGGACCTGCAAGAGGACTAGCAAAAAGAAAGACTGTGCTTCAGGAGGTGGCTGAGACTAGCAGTGACAGGTCCAACAAGGACAGCGATGGCAGAGCCATGAAGCACAGCTTTGTGCCTGACACTGCTTTGCACAGGAGTCTATAAGAAAGGAACAAGAGTACACCCTTTCATCCTACGAATTCAGTCAGGGACAGATCCCTGACACATACCTCAATCACTTCAGCACTGTGTCCGAAGGGTGTGACTTCTATGAACACTGTTCAGGGAACAGCTTTAGGCAGCTCATCAGAGCACTCATTAGAGGACAGACTGCAGGTCATCAGCTAGGAGAATGGGATGTTACAGGCAGAAAGGGTGAAATCATGCAATGGGTGGCATTTTAGTGATGGTGAGTGGTACGGTCAGAGATGGTGACACAATACTGTTTCTCAGCCAGAGATTTTGCCTTGAGGATCTTGGTAGACATGATGGTTTTATGATGGGTGTGAGCCATGGTTTTCTTCAGAGTGCTCTCTTTTATTTTCATGTGTTTTTGTTCTTTTCCATGTATTTCCATGGGAAGGTAGGCTGGGTGTCTTTTTTATCAGGGAGGTTTCCTAGTTAGGGTTTCCATTTCTCTTTAAGTGTCGTGAATCCTATTCCTAGCTTGACTGGTGATAAATGTGCATGCATTTGTCCTTAATTGGCAACCTAGAGCATCTTCACACTGGGGCCATGTCAACAAATATAACTCTTCTTGCTCAATATCAATCAGAAGCCCAGTTATGGAATATAATTTTACTTACAGATCATAGATTAAAAGCCAGGCAGTATACTCACTCCTCTAATTCTTCTGAAATCAGTCATTGAATTAGGCAGACTGTCAGAATATCTCCCTCCACCCTGCTGTAATGAAGTAGGCTTTGGCACTCATTGCAGATCCCCAGCCCAGGTCATGCAGGGAACACCTGAGGCCCATCTTACATGCTGGGGAGGTTGATGAAAATAGGACATGGTTCATAAGATCCAGACAGTCTCCTTGATGAGGACTCCCAGGAGAAGAAACTCCCATGCTGTAAGTGTGCAGGTTCAAAGCACATGATGGATTGTGCTTTTGCTCTTGCACAGCGTGCTCAGAAGCTTGGAATCAAATCCATGGACCACCGAGAGCAAATTTATAGAATTTTATGATGCTCTTTTTCTATTTTCCTTTAGATAGAGTCTCACACACCCAAACTTCCACATCCAGTTATATTGTGTGCTGGGGATGAAACCCAGGGCTTTGTGCACGCTAGTCATATTTTACACGGAGCCATATTTTAGACAAACATGATTTCCATTTTAATATGATTTTGTCTGCAGTCACTGGCTTCTTCAAAAAGTTATTGAGATGAAGCTCAGTATAAAATCAACATAAAATCATCATGCATTTTAAGATGAATACTTAGCAGTGTGTAATACACTCACAGTGTACACTTACTTTCAATGTGTTACCATCTCAGCAAAAGTGTTGTCTTTACGTTTTTCCTTTTGACTCTTTCAAATAAAACCCTCTTGTATTGTGCATGTTTTTCAGTCACCATGTGTTTTTAAAATGAAGCAGGCTTTAATAAACACACAAAAGAGCCTAAAGCAAGTCTGAGTAAAAGAAGCCAAGAAGGCGTAGTTACAGAACACACGGATAAACACAAGGAACTTCAAGACAGATGTGGTCTGTGAGGCAAGTCAAATAAAGTAAGGATGGAGACAAATCTGCTAACCTGTGACCCTTGGAGTTGTGTTTGTTTTTGTAACACATAGTTGGGGGCAAAACCTATGATGCCTAGCAGGTGACCTAATGGAGACTCAGAAGTCTTGATTGTTTACTAAAGTGTTGGAGCCCATTTCCTATAGTTGGATGCCATGCTCAGCCTTAATGCAGGGGGAGGAGCTTGATCCTGCCTCAACTTAATGTGCCAGGCTTTGTTGACTCCTCAAGGGAGCCCTTACCTTTTGGGAGGAGTGGATGGGGGCTGGGTGGGTGAAGGCAAGTGGGGGAGGAGGGATGGGAGGGAGAAGGTGGTTGGAATATAAAATGAAATTTAAAATAAATAAATGTACAGAATAGTGAAATAAAGAAAATATTTATAATTTTAGGGCAAAGTAAGTTTGAAGACAATTTTTGAAAGGTACTTATTTTAGAATTAATGAAACAAAAGTTGGCTATTTAGAAAGATCGGCAAATTCTTGACCAAACTAACCAAAAGAAAAAGAGAAGACCCAAATTTATAAAATTACAGATGAAAAGGCATTAAAACAGATTCTACTGGATTTCATAAAATTACTAGCTCTTACTCTGAAACCATATAATTTCATAAAATTGGAAAATCTAAAAAAAATAGATGAATTTCTGGATACATATGACCTAGTAATATTAAACCAAGATAAGATAAATAATTTAAACAGATTTATAGCAACCAGTGATATTTCAACAGTCCTTTAAAAAAAAGTCTACTGGAGAGGTGTCTCAGTGGTTAAGACCATGTGCTATTGTTATAGTGGACTCAAGTTCAATCCCCAGGGCCCAAGTGCAACTTCAGGTCCAGGAAGATCTGACTGTGAGCACACACACATGGAAATATACACAATACAATGCAACACAACACCACACACACACACACACACACACACACACACACACACACTCAATTTAAAACAAACAAAATCTTAAAAATGTGCCTGAGGATCACTCAGTGATTAAGAGTACTCACCCCCAAACAGCCAAAGCAACCCGAAGCAAAAATAATACTGCTGGGCCGGGTGTTGGTGGTGCATGCCTTTAATCCCAGCACTCGGGAGGCAGAGGCAGGCAGATCTCTGTGAGTTCGAGGCCAGCCTGGTTTACAGATCGAGTTCCAGGACAGCCTCCAAAACAATACAGAGAAACACTGTCTCGAAAAACCAAAAAACAAAAAAAGTACTGCTGGTGCGTCTTTATACCTGACTTCAAATTTTATTACAGAGCCATAATAATAAAAACACCTTTTTTGGGGGGGCACAAATCCAGACACATCAGTCAATAGACTAGAGGACCCAGGCACAAGGGACAGCCCACATGATATTTGACAAAGACATAACAATAAACATTAAAGAAAATACAACAACAAATGGTGCTGGGAAAACTGGATATCTACATTTAGAAAAATGAAATCCTTACTTCTTTCCCTGTATAAAATTCAACTCCAAATGGATCCAGTACCTCAGCATAAGATATGAAGTCCTGAATTTGTCATAGGGAAAAGTATGAAACATACTTCAAGGTGTAGACACGGGTAAGGACTTTCTGAATAGGATTCTGATCGCTCAGGAGGGAAAAAAAAGACTAACAATCAACAAATTGGATATCATAAAATTGAAAAACTTTGTACAACAAAGGTAACTGTCAATCAAATGTAGAGACTGCCTACAGAATGGAACAAAAAATTTTCCAGTTATATATTTGACACAGGATTAGTATCTAGGATATGCAAAGAACTCAAGAAACTAAACATCAAGAAAACAACCCAATAAAATATGGGCCCAGTCCACTGGTGCAATAGTGGCATGATGGCTATAAGTAGTGAAACACTTTGTGGTCAGATACGAGGCCTGCTTCTCAGGGAGGATTTCATGCCTCAGACTCTACCTTGACCAACATTTCATGACTGAGAAGATGATAGGCCCCGGGGAAACTGTTGTTTTGCCAAATGGTCATGCTGTGAAACGATATTCTAAGTATTTATGTTTAATCTCATAGATTGTGTTTCTCTCAGTCCTTACCAGAGAAGCTTCTTTTTGAGTGGGTAGGGGTTAATTCAGGGGCTCATAACTGTCAGGGTGCTTAGAATAAGTGACTGTTGAGTGCCAAGCCTCAAATGGGACATCTGTATCAACCTATCCTCAAGGCTCAGAGAGTATCACAGAAGACAGGAGGAAAGAGCAGGACACTGGGGAGGAGAGCTGGGAAACGCTGACTTGTGGGCGATCACACACTCACTGCAGCTGTGATCACCTGTATAAGACCTGCACAGGATTAAGCCATCAAGATGAGTCAACATTCCAGCAGTTAGCACTAAGTGTAATCAGGAGGATTAAAAAAAAAGGATATGAAGGTAAGAGGGGGATTGTGGGAGCATGGTCAAAAGAATGACCCACGGTGAACAACGCCTTGGGGAACTGTGAGAGAGGCTCCAGGAGAAAAGGCAGAGGAGAGGGCCTTGTATCTCAGGTGCACTTTGTTCCCAGGTTTGTTCTTGGATGTGATTTCCTGCTTCCTGTGACAGACATTTACATTTAACTTATAAGACATGCTCATTCTTGTTGGATGCCAGAACATAGCTATTGAACCAAATCTTGTCAGTGTACCCTGAATCAGGATATAACATTCTGCCTTGCTTTCATTCTCTCCCAGATATAATCTATAGTACATGCCAGGCACTGTGTTAAAACTTTCTCTGTCCTGAGAAAGTTCTGGCAAAGGGCTGCTCTGTTAATATTTAGTATGTGCTTATTGACAGTTATTTATTGTTTTTCTGATCATGTTTTTCTGCGTTCAAACGACCCCTCCCTTAGATCATTGCTTTCTTTGTTTCATCTGTGTATAAAAGCACACTGAAACTGAAGGGAGGTTGTATGCAGCAGTAGACTGTAGTCTGCTCCATTCTTTAGGTTCTGAGATCCCAGGTCTAGCAGACAAGCTCTGCACGGGTCGGCTGAAAAGTTCACAGGGAATATATTGGAAAATGTTCAAGGGAGCGGAGGAGGCATTTGGGGATGTGTGTGATAAAGGTACTATATACATATGTATCTGTACTACTATAGATGTGCTGCTCTTGTAGAGGACCCAAGTTAGTGTGTATGTGTGTGTGTATGAAATTTCAGATGATTAAATAAGAGATAGTTCAAAAATTATTGTTTATACTGTGTGTATAAGTATATTGTTTGTATAAGTGCAGGTCTGTATGTGCCACAGAGTGTGGAGATCAAAAGATCATTGGATTGGGAGTTAGTTCTAGTTCTTTCCTCCTATCTTGTTTATTCAGGGCTTCTCTTGTTCCTCAGTCTCTTCATATTTCACACTGGCTGGTGAGCTTCTATGTGATTCTCCTTTCTACCTCACATCTCACATAGGAGTGCTGGGATTACAGATTAGAGCTATTCTATCCAGCTTTCCATGAGTCTAAGGGATTGAAATTGGGTTGGCAAGCTACTATAGCCAGTGTTTTTCTCTGTTGAGATATCTGATCAGACTGAAGATAACTTTTTTTTGAAGATAAGTCTACTCAAGGAAAATACAGTATAATGTGGAAAAAACTTGAATGAAAGTCCTGATCCTGACCTTGTGCAAATCATTTCCTGTCGCTAGCTTTGTTTTTCTCATTTTTGAAGCACAGAGGCTTATCAGAATTATCTTTTTAGCTCTAGTGTTCTATGGTGTATTCTTGTATGGGAACAGTAAAGCACTTTGAAAGTGTAATAATATATTTCTCATAGAGACATAATAATTTTTACTAGTCTACCTGAAACACCAATTTTATAAGATTTTCTGATCTTATAATGATAGAAAATAATTCAGGGGCAGCACTAACCATTTTACCAAAAGTTATGTTTTGTTGTATACAACCAACTCTCAGATGATTTTAAGGCCAAAATGATGGTTGATATCCACTGTGGTTTGCTGTGGAATAATCTTTTTGTACACTGTGAAGAAATGTCATTCAAATTGGTTTAATAAAAAGCTAAAAGGCCAGTTGCTAGGCAGGATTTTCAGGGCAGAGAGAATGGTGGGAACCACTGCCCAAATTTCAGATTCAACCTACCTGTTGAATACAACCTATGAGGAAAATAGCACTGAGGAAATATTCTATGAGGAGCCCCTTTAGAAAACACAGTCATAACACAGTACCAGAGGTGTTCACACTTAGAACTACAGTGCAAGCTAAGCAACCTCAGATCCTGAGACTTATGTCTCCTAAAAAGATATTTTCACCAGATAATCTATAGAGTGGAAAGGATTGCCACATGTTGGAGGCCAGCCTTTATGGTTTGGTAGCCAAGGTTACACAGTAAGAACTTGTCTCTAAGAAAAAAAGGTAAAAATTAAAAATAAATATGAAAGAAGGAAAAATATCAGTCAATAGGACTTCAGTGTTTAGTGATTTCCTTGTGTGTAATTTACTCTAGCAAGCACTCATGAGGTGAGGTAGCTCATGTCTGAAATCCCAGCATTCAGAAGTATGAGTCACATGGGGAAATTCTGTCTCAAAAAACAAACATAAGAAAACACATAAAAAAGGACAGCCTGTTAGTGACATGAAGGAAGTAAAGGTTCAACCCTCCCCTCTGTAGCCATACCCCTGGGTCAAGGATTTGGGTCTCATGACCTTCTTTGTTTTAATGGACTCTGTTTCAAAGCCCAGAAGAGCTTTCTGCTGGTGAAGCTTTGGCTTCTGTATCTCTCACCACACCCAGGAAGGGTGGCTGGCATTCTCGAGAGGATTGCCTACTAGAACTGAAGGAAGGCTGTTGGATTGAGGGGTCATGTTCCTCAGAAGGTTATTCAATGGGTTCCCTTCTGTTGGTGATGCTGGTGAGACAAACCTCTCCAGGGTAGAGAATACTTTTTCAGGGGGTTGAGGAAGAGCATTGATGGGTCCTCAGGGAATGTTGTCATCAAACATTGGCTTTATAGGAAGAAACTCACCAGGTATATCAGGTCCTTCTCTGTCCACTGCCTCAAACCAAGGCTCACTAAGCAGAAGTTGTGGACTTGGTGTAGCATCCTGAAGAGTGAATTTAGAAAGACAGATGTCAAGAAGGGTTGTTTCTCTGTGCATGAGGAGGGTTGTGCTTATATTTTTAATACTGTTACTTATATTTAAGTAAAGAATTTTGTTGTTAGCATGACTTGTCTTTGGAGGTGGAGCCTGGAACCATATCCTGAAAGGATAACACAATCTGGCCAGGGAATATATTTCCTGATTTCTTGTTTCTCGGCTGACAGGTCTTCCTGGATAGGACTAACTAATGACTGAAATACTTTGAACTGTGTCAATCATGCTTTCATTCATAATTTTTTCATTTCAAGAGGGCATGGAGCTTACTCAGAATTTCTATTTGTGAAAGCTACAATAAAAACTGAAATCAACAGAACTTTAAGTTAAATACAAAATTACTACTACATCAATTACTTTTAGTTTCGAATACATTTTTTTACCACCTCCCATAAGTGAAAATGTAGATAAGCTTTTAGGAATTAAAAATAAACTTATAAGGGTATTTCTGAAAATCAAATTTAAGTATATTTTGCTTTAATTATTCATTTTAGTTCATAAAATGTGTTTTCTCTGGCTGGAGAGATGATCAGTAGGAAGAGGCACTGGTTCCTCAGCCTGATGTCTGTGTTCAGTCGCTGGGACACACACAGTGGTAGGAGAGGACCAGTTTCTGCAGTTCATCCTCTGACCTCCACCTGAGTGCTGTGGCATGCCTGTGTCTTGGCTTCCTCTCCCAATAAATGAACGAGGGTAAAAATAAATTTAAAATGTGTCTTATTAAACACATAACTCAACCTGACTCAAAATAAAGCAAATATATTACTAAATCCAAGGAAACTGAATTTTAGAAATATTTGAAATGCAGTTTGAATTAATTTTTGTTAACATAGTTAATGAAAGTAGACTCCTAATTATAGACCTAAAACATAAAATACTTACACTTAACATTACAGTCAGTATTTTTTTCTATTCAGTCTGTAAAACTGAGGGACGGGAAACTCACTTACCTCAGTGATGTCAGCAAGGGGCATGGGCAGCCCTGGTTGGGTGACAGGTTTGGAGACTGACAATGACCCAGAAACTTCTGGAGTAAAAAAAAATCACAAGGCTAAAATATTTCTTTTTTTTATGATTTAGGCAATTACACAGTTAAGATTCTAAAATGTGGTAATAGTCAATTCTTAAGGAGTAGCACTACAACATTAAGAAATTGGAGTTGCGGACTAATTGTAATTAATCTGAATGATGCTCTAAAGGACTGATCCAGGGTTGCATCTTGCATGCTTATGCAATGGGAATTGTTAAGAACAGGATGAAAGAGTGGGAGAGGTTTGGTAATGGGTACAACAATCAGTATAAATAGACAGGAGGAATAAGTACTAGGATTATATTGCTCAGTGGGGTGATTACAGCTAACGATAATGTATTGTGTATTTCATAATTGCTATAGGAGAAGTTTTAAATGCTCTCATCACAAAGAAATGATACAGAAGAAAGTGATAGAAATAATAACCAGGATGCTTTGTTCATTATGTTATATACGTATGCATCTAATCATAACTTTATATTCCAAGAATGTGTGTAATTATTATGTGCAAATTACATAATAAGAGAAATTACAAAAGAATAGTAGTTTGGAGATTATTGGGATCCCTAGCCTTAGTCTAAAGATTTGGATAAAATAGTAAGACTGTTTGGCTAGGCAAATATGGAGAAAAATGAAACTTATCTTGCAAAGAAAAATATGGTTAGTATGAACACTGTAAAATAGGAGCATCTATGAAATTGACTCCATCCTTCCTCCTGGTTCTCAGAGCACCCCAAGAAAGCTCAACAGAGGCATAAGCCAGAGTAACACTGATGGGAAATGTCATTCTGTAAGTATGTTTCTCTTATTGGTTAATGAATAAAGCACTGTTCGGCCAATGAGGAGACAAGGAGGATTCTGAGAAGTATAGGCAGAGAGTCACCATCATGTGATCCTGGGAGGAGAGGACACACGTCAGGTGTTTTCTGGTAAGATAAGGCCATGTAGAAATACTTAGAATAAAAGAAATGGGTTAATAATTAAGACAGAGCTAGCCAATAAGAAGTTCAAGCCAACAATCAACAGTATTATAATTCATATAGTGTCTGTGTGTTCGTTTGGGGCTGATGCTCAGTGGACCCAGGCTGGCAGAAAGAATGCTTGTAACATAACACACAATCTCGGGGATGAGTCTGAAAGTTGTTTACTTGTTGGTCGCATAACCTCCCTTCAAATTTCCAGAGATAAATCAAATTTCCTGACATAAATCAGATAACAGAACTACCAGAGAATGACAGTTTCACGCCATCTTGTGCTGAAATGGCATTTCCATTGTCTTCTATTATACTATCTGCTTGCCTTTGAGTTTCAGGCTCTTGGGTCCCCCCATAGCATCCTCTAAAGCTCCCAAGCATGTCAGATTATCTGGTTTATGTCTTTGGATCCCACTGAAGGTTGACTTACACAGTTTGTATCAGTGGTTTGTTACCCTCCTCTCTGGGGTGGGTTGCATTAGTGAGCAACCCTCAGGCCTGGAGGTAGAAGTGAGGTCATGTTACTTCTAGCCTTATGGGACTATTCCATTCCTTTGAGTAAAGGAAATTTTCATGGGCAGTTCCTCCATCAGCTCTTTTTAAATTAGCCTCATTTGAATATGCCATCTGTTTCCTTATGAAGCCTTAACTAGTTTCCTGGATGAGAAGATATGTGTACACTATGCCAGATAGATGGGACTGTCCAAGAGTTCTCCCCTCTGTCCAGGCCCTACTGGCTGAACATGGCTGATCTGACTTAACTGAAACTACTAGATTCTCCTAGAATTATCATAGGTGCATAAATGAAATGCAAGAAGGAGTGAAGAGAGATAGAAATAGTAAGGTACATGATGTACCTGTCATAGCAACGACTTACTTTACAAGGCCCAAGTTAAAAGGGCAATCCATCATATAGTCATAATTCCTAGCTTTTCTGTCAGAATGAGGATAAACTCAGAAATATGGCATCACCAACTGACCATCACTGAAATGAATTGTCCCCACATCCAAGGAATGGTCCCCATCTAGTAGTTGAGTGATAAGTTTTTTGAGGTTCATAGTTGTGAGGTAGATTTCCAGTTGCTTGTCTTCTATGGTTCCATGATGAATTCTTTCACTTTCAATTTTGTTGGAATCAAGGGACAGGAGATCATTTGCAGGACTTTTTACTTCTTCACGGTCTCTCTTAAAGATGGCCATAAGTTGTATTTCTGTGGAGCTTGAACTGTGGAGAGCAGAGGACACATTCCATCCATAGCCATTGTTATAAGACGAGAGAGTTTCTGGGTTGCTATAAGTCTTCAGGGCAATTTAACATCTTTTCTGATAGGCTCTTAAAGAATATCCAACTTAAAACATTTCTGTGTTTGCCAGAAATTTTAACATATGGAAAAATATTGACAAATACTTTGCTTTAAAGGAGAATGTCAGCCTGGAGATTAAGTCTAGTTCAAAAAGGGATTGTGACTTGGTTCCATACATATTTATATTTTTTAAAAAGGTGGTAATGGTTCATTGTTAATTGATCAGCGTTTTTGGTGGTTTTAAAGTCATGCAGTGCCTATCAGAAAGAGAGATGGATTGGCCCTTTTTCTACAAGACACCTCCTTTAAGGTCTATGGAAGAGTATGCACCATGTAGCAGGGGCACAATAGGCTATATATGCCATAAGCAAGTGGAACTTCAGTTCTTAAGGCCTTTTTTTCTTCCATTCTTTTCCACAGAGTATTTTATTATTTGATTTGAGTTTTGTTTTTCAAGACAGTTTTTCTTTGTGTAACAGCTCTGGCTGTCCTGGAACTTGCTTTGTAGATCAGGCTGGCCTCAAACTCACAGAGATCCTCCTGCCTCCTGCCTCTGCTGGGATTAAAGGCATGTGTCACCATCACCTGGCCACATAGTATTTTTTAAATTTAATAAAAAACAAACAAAAAGTTTAAAATGAAACAGAGCAAGGAAATAAAATAACAAAGGGTGGAAGAAAAGGGGAGGGGGAGCAGTACGCAGTGTATGATTAACTGTAGTTACTGCCATATTTATTAATGCAGTATCTTTTGGCATGCAAACCCTCAAACAAGATTTTTTACAGCTCTGTCCTTGAGACAAAGTGTTACCTTTTGTTTTATGCCATAAATCTGCACAGAGGCATGCAGAAGTGTTTTAAAGGCCTCAGGAACTGATAATGTGTATTCTTGGCAGTTCTTCAGACCACACAGTCAGTCAGCGACTACATTTCATTATTTCACTAGTCAATTGCAGGAGCCAAAGCCAGATTCTCATTACTGATCTCTCCAAGGTATAGTGGGTCATTTTCCCACCTCAAACTGACCTTGGGGCTGAGGAGCAAATTAGTTTCTCTCCTTTATTCTAGATTTCAGTTGGGTGTACTCATGAGCTTGAAGTCAGTCAGCCAGTCTCTCATTGCAAACATACAAGAATTAGTTAAATCAGGATGCTGGCATAAACATCTGTATTCTCACATTTTTCTAATTAGAGGTGTAGTCTTTCATAGAATGCTTTTCAGATGGTCAATCAATGTTTCCCTGCTAATCTCACATAGTGATTTGACTAGAGAGTTTTTAAAAATAACTAAGTGATAATTCCATTTAAATAAAACCACTAAAAATCATGGGCTTATTCAAGACAAAGTATATGTGAAAATTATTTAAAAATATAACAGCTTAAGCTGGGTGGTAATGGTGCATGTCTTTAATTCCAGCACTTGGGAGGCAAAAGCAGGCAGATCTCTGGGTTCAAGGCTAGCCTGGTGTACAGAGAAAGTTTCAACACAGTCAAGGCTACTCGGAGAAACCATGTCTAAAGAAAAACCAAAATCCAAACAAAACAAAAATCAACCAATCAACCAACCAAAGAAGAAGGTCCCCCCTCCCCCCAAAATAACCCAGCTTATACATTTGGGAAAGGAAGCATAATGTATTTCAAAACACAAAAATAATCAAAATTACCCATCTCTTTCTTTCTTTGGTCTTCATTTTACCACACACCATGAAAACATGCAAGGGAGAAAGAATTTTGGTGAGATTTATTGAAACTGTCAGTGGATTATTTTATACACAAAAATGCTTTTATATTGCCCTTCATGTTCATCTAGAGTGTTAGAGGAACAAACTGCCACCAGAATTTGGATGGTACTTTAGGATTCATGAATCTTAGGATGTAAACATCATTACCTACAGTTTCTGATCAGGGTTTGAGCCTCAGTTTAAAGACAGTTGTGCACTTAGGCTCTTCTTTTTAAACTTGTCGATTTCTTCAAGGAGGCTGCAAATATATATTGTGCATCTTATACTTGGGCCGCAACTGCCAGGATGTTTTTAAAAAGTATTTTGCAAGCAGATTTCCTTACCTCCTGAATGCCATTAATGGATTTGTTTATTCTCAGAGGTAACTTGTCTGAGATTGACCCTGGGAACTAGTGTTTTGCCGAGTTTTCTTTGAATTGTTTTAATCAGTTGAGGGATTGGTTCGATTCATCATGAAAACTTGTGAGAAAAACAACACCCATTTACTGAGTGGGTGCTACAAGCCAAGCATTTTATGTGTATTTTAATTTAATGTTTACAACAGCAGAATCCTCATTTCACAGGTGCTACAAAGGCAGAGGGAGACAGAGTCAGTTGAATCCAGAAGAGGCAGGATTTGAACTTGGGGTTGTCTCTCTTCAACCTTTTTTCATTTTGTTACCTCATTCACTGGTATGTGCCTGAGGAAGACATGTTTGGTTACCCAAAGTACAGACACATTTTAGAATTCAGTTTCTTTCTTTTTTTTTTTTAACTTGCTCAGTCATGTTCATTGTTTTGTTTGCAATAGGTAGGAAACAGAAACAATCTAAATGTCCTTCAACTGATGAACAGATAATGAAAATGTGGAGTACATACACCATTGAATACAATTATACAGCAAGAAAAAAAGAAATTTCTGAACTTATGACAGTTGATGATGAAGACAGTCTCTATATATGATGGGATTAGTGTCATTGGCATTTCTGCCTGGACTACAAATTCATTTCACTCATCTCCTGATATAATATGGCTTCAGTGGATAGGCTACAGACTTGTTAAATGTGGAATAATCTTTATGTACACTGAATATGTGCCAATCTGAATGGTTTAATGAAAAGTTGAATGACCAATAGCTAGGCAGGATTATCAGGGCAGAGAGGACACTGGGAAGAAGAAGGCAGAGACGCCAGCAAGACACGGAGGAAGGAAGAAAGCAGCATGGACAGTAAGAGTAAAGGTAATAAAGCTATGATGCAGAAAGTAAATAGAAATGGGTTAATTTAAGTTCTCAGAGCTAGTTAGAAACAAGCCTAAGCTATTGGACGAATTTTCATAATTAATAAGAAGTCTCTGTGTGGTTATTTGGGAGCTGGCAGGTAGAATAGAAAAAAAATCAGCTTACACTTGTTTCCATGTTCTCTTGGAGACAGAGAACCTGCTGTCCTTCTAAGTGGTTCTGCTCTGTGAGGAGAGACTGCCTACCTGCCTACAGAGATCCATCCAGGGCCTGCCTCTTGCTTCTTTGTAATTTGTAACCCATGAGGCCAAGGAGAGAGGCCACACTACCTGGGCCTAAACCTTATTACTGCCAATGAGAAATTGCTTTGTTGACATAGTCTTGTATCAGCAAATGGAGATCTTAAAGAAAAACTATTTATTATCACAATGAAGATATGGAGCAAGTTCACCAGTGTCAAAGCTTTAGCCTGCCTCTTTGTGATTCTTCCCTGTCTCACCCTCTCCAAGCAACTACTGGTATGTTTTCTGCCACTGTAGATGAGTTTCTGTTT